GTGCTGGAGGTGATTTATTTTTAAACATAACACCTAACCTAACTTAGGGAAGGGAGTGCATTAACCAGATATGGGCTGTGTCAGAAGCATAATTGTAAAAGGCTGGATTGCCTGCATATGCAAGTATGTTTTAGTATTCTTTATTTCCTCATCAGATCTGGCTTTTTTTTTTCTTTTTCTCCTAAGTTTCAGGGTTGTAATTCTCAACCAGAAATTTAAGACTTTATAAAATAATTTTAAAATTCAGCTTGTGCTTTTGAATTTCAGGAGAAGGAAATCATAATTTAAGAAAATGCTCACTAAAAAGACCATTACAGATCCCAAACACTTAGGTTTGATGACCCTGTCTCTCTTATATGACTCTGGAAAAAAACATTTGGAGGCAGTATATAATGCTCAGACAAGTGGAAAGCATCAAACATGGTACAGTATTTCACTCAGCGTTTTTGAAACCTGCTTTATTGTAACAAGGTGGTTGCCATTGTGGTGGAGCTTCCACTGCTGTTTGTAAATTGAGAGTGACTCTCAGAGGATACTTTTTTCTTTTAATCTGGTATGAGTCAATACCTGGATATTTAATTACCATTCTTAGTAAATCATGGGGACAGAAGAGTTTAGAATGGAAAAAAGTCTCTTGTATCTAGATACTTTAATTACAGGAGGTCCTTATAACTTAATTGCCTATAAGTCAACCACTGGATCTCAATTTGCATCAAGTATTTTAAACAGTTCTGAATTTTAAAAAATGTTTTGCAGTACTATGTCAGTACCTTATTGTTAAACTGAATCAGATAAAGAAATCTTCAGTTCTTGGTTATTTGGGCCATTGAATCATCATGGACTGTATAATACAATCAGATTATTTTATTTCTAGACATCCTTGAATTACACCAAAGAACCTGAAATTTAATTTTGGTTAAGTTATTTATTTATTTCATGCACCCGTCTTATTTCCCTTTTTAAGGTCTGGAAGAGACTTCTTTGGGAAGACTCTAAAAACTCTTCACTGTGGTCTATGTGGGGCATTAGAAGCCAGAGCACTCCTCCTCCAGGCTCCTTCTCAGTGTCTGGAGGTGCTGTAGGAACCATAGATCCAGCCAGGGGCTTCCCTAAGGCAGTGCAGAGCCGGGCCAGGGGGCCATTAGGCAGGCCCTAATTACCTTTAAAAAAAAAAAAAAGCTCTATGTATTTATTTTAGAATCATGTCTTTCTGTATATTAACTTGGAGAATGTCAATTAATATTTTAGGATATAAGATTTGAGGTCAGCCATCTTCCAAAAAAGAAAAGAAAGAAAAAAAAAAAGCCCTGACTTTAAAAGGTACATGTGAACTATACATCTTTTTTTTCCATGAGTTTTAGGAACTGTAGTGATATGGCTTAGAAAGTATAATGGCCTAAATGTTTTCAAAATGTAAGTTCATGTGGAAAAGAATTTTGTTTATGTGCGGAAAAAGACCTATAGGTTTAAAATAGTATGTCAGCCAACTGATTTAAAAGGCCTTGAATTACTTTGTTTTTGAACCCACCCTTTTCTTCCTATGAGGAAGAATTAAGAGGGGACTCTTCTTTGTGTAAAATCTCCAAATTGGTGTTGTTGATTTTTGAACTTAAACATTTTCAGACTTGATTAAAACTTGGTTTATTCTAATTTCTGTATCAAAAGAGGTTTAAGTGATAACTAGTCTTATAATATGTATGTATCATATCTTTGTTCATCTAAAGCTTTTTAATCCAAATAAAAATGGAGTTTGCAAAGTGATTTGGATTAACCAGGTTTGGTTGTTTTGTTAAAGCTGTGTCAGATGTTAGTTTCAAGTAGGTTTAATTTCTGCAAGCCTTGATTTTATGTTGACAGCGATATGGCTGCCAATTTAAAGGAAGAGAGCTCCTTGGGGAGAGGCAAAAGTCAGTGTCCAGACACTGATCCAAGGCTTAGGCTGCATTAACACAGAAGCTGAATGTAGTCACACTGCAGCCTTACTTGCCCGTGCCAAGCCTCTCAGACTGGCAGTCAAGGATTCCTAACATGTCTTCAGCATGGGCAGAAATGCAGGTTGAAGTTAAAATTGCAGAGGGAGTTGTTACTGATGATGGCAGGTAAGGCAAGCATGTCCTGTATCATAAATCAGTGTAATCCATTTCAAATAGCTGTGTGTGGCCAGAAGAGAGAAGTGGCCCGGGTATGTTTTTATCATGCTTATAATCTCTTAAAATATGACAACACTTTTAATAGAAGGTGTTGGTAAAATCAACCAACTGTTTTCCTCTAATATCACTTTGCAAATCCCTGTGGTTCTGTTCTCCTAAGAGTTTAGGGCTGTACTTCCATCTCTGCTCATAAACATATTTTGAATGATCGTTGATGTATAGTTAAACATTCCAGCTGAACACTCTGAGCAATAGTGCTAAGTATTACTCTGTTCCTTTTGCATTTGGAAGTGTGCGAGGTCAGCTGAATGAAAGTTCATACCTGAACAAATTAATAGACTATTTCTATCCCCCAGATAGATGTGGAATGCACGTCTTGTGGATTATACATAAAAGTGTGTCAAGAAATTCCAAATTTAATACACGTGTGTGAAAACTAAGAACTGATGCTGCTTTACTAGCAGAGAAGTTGTTTTGGAAAACACCATGGTCCAAGTGTATATATTTTTTTAAGAGAAGTAACGGTGTGAGAGATCCAAACTTCTAAAAGAGATTAATTTGATTGAGTTATAACTTCAGAGATGTAGGCAAGATTTCCAAAAGAGGACTACTAGATGAACAAAGATAGCCCTTCCTTATTGAGTATTTACTCTGTGCTTAGGTATTGGGTTGGCCAAAAAGTTCCTTGAATTTTTAAGTAAAAATAAAAGACATTTTTCATTTTCACCAAGAACTTTGTTGAACAACATATTCACACTCTGCCATTTTTCAGGCAACTTCATAATTCCATCTTCCCAAAACTTTTTATCTTTTTGAGCAAAGAACTGTTCCAGGTGCCTTTTACAGTCTTGCAGAGAATTGGCATTTTTTCCATGAAGAGAATTTTGTAAAGACCGAAATAAATGGAAATACGCAGGTGCAATATCTGGTGAATACGACGGATGAATTAGAATTTCCCAGCCAAGCTGTAACAGTTTTTCCCTGGTCATTGAAACGTGCGGTCTTGTGTCATCCTGATGGAAGATTATGCGTTTTCTGTTGACTAATTCCGGATGCTTTTCGTCGAGGGCTGCTTTCAGTTGGTCTAACTGGGAGCAGTACTTGTTGGAATTAATCGTTTTGTTTTCTGGAAGGAGCTCATAATAGAGGACTCCCTCCCAATCCCACCGTATATACAACATCACCTTCTTTGGATGAAGACCGGCCTTTGGTTGGTTGGTGGTGGTTCATTTAGCTTGCCCCACGATCTCTTCTGTTCCACATTATAGTACAGTATCCACTTTTCATCGCCTGTCACAATTTGTTTTAAAAATAGAATGTTCTCGTTACGTTTAAGTAGAGAATTGCATGCGGAAATACAGTCAAGAAGGCTTTTTTCACTTAAATTATGGAACCCAAACATCAAAGCAATTAACATAACCAAGCGGTGATTTTCAATGCTTGATTTGGATATTTTTGAGTATGTCGGCTCTCTCACGCATGGTATAACGTTGATTGTTCTCAGTGTCTCGATTTGATCACTATCAACTTCAGTAGGTCTACCTGACCGTGGAGCATTGTCCAGCGGGAAATCTCCAGCACAAAACTTCACTAACCGCTTTTGACATGTTCGATCAGTCACAGCACCTTCTCCATACACTGCACAAATCTTTTTATGTGTTTCAGTTGCGTTTTTACCTTCCTTGAAATAATAAAGCACAGGGACTTCCCTGGTGGCGCAGTGGTTGGGAATCCACCTGCCAATGCAGGGGACACAGGTTCTATTCCTGCTCCGGGAAGATCCCACATGCCTCGGGGCAACTAAGCCCGTGCACCACAACTACTGAGCCTGTGCTCTAGAGCCCATGAGCCACAACTAACTGAAGCCCATGCGCCTAGAGCCCGTGCTCTGCAACAAGAGAAGCCACTGCAAGGAGAAGCCCTCACATCGCAACGAAGAGTAGCCCCCACTGTCCACAGCTAGAGAGAGCCCGCGCGCAGCAACAAAGACCCAACGCAGCCAAAAATAAATAAAATTTATATTAAAAAAAATAAAGCATAATACACGGAAAATGTTGCTTCCATCTTCAATATTAAAATGGCTGCACAAAAATTCACCAATTTTGATTTTTTTTTTTAATGCACGCTGATATGAGACCTGTCACAATACAGTCTAGCAAAATTGTTTCGAATGAAGTTAAAGACGGCTAAGCGCTACTAGAGCCATCTTACGGGAAAAACCGAATGAACTTTTTGGTCAACCCAATACTTTCCCTATCCATTCAGATGATAAAATGAAGCTCCAAGGCCCATGTTCTTTGTCTAACACCCCAGTGGAGGTAGACTTCTAGCAATAAATGCTAATTAGATTTTTGTCATTCTGAAGTATTGTGGTTTTTGAAATGCAAGTTATTAAATTGTTTGCCTTGTAGTTCACAGTAGGGGGCACTGCAGTTCTGTAAGCAGCATATGAGAGCATTGCTGTTTAAATTATTTAAGTTCCCTTAAATAATCCTAGTGTCTGATAAGTGGGATAGTTATATTCCTTAGTAGAACTGTTAAAAAATTGAGGCAAAGTTAAAAAGCTTGCACCTTGGTTAACAAAAATTAGTTCTGTAGCATCCAAATTAATATGCTTTGAAAGTATCTTCAATTTTAATTGCTTTGCTAGTCTACTTGCCTTGAAGTCAGACATTGTTGTGTTGTCTTCAAAGCTTCATTGTCTTAAATAAATTGGCACTCCAATACATATATTTTAGAAAGATGAAGAAAACTCTAGGGAAGTTTAGCACAAATTTCAGACTAGAGATTCTCCCTGGGATGGAGGCAGCAGGATAGGCCAGGGAAGGAAACCACAGCAGACAACAGAAGTTAGCTGATGGTTTTATTAGCATTTACAACTATTCTTTGTAAAAGGTATGTATGTTACATATGCTCTTTACATAGGTACAAAATATTAAACTTCTAAAACAGGTTGGGGGAACAAATGGGAGTTAAGGCCACAATTTAAATTCATTATGCAGCAGTCTAGTCACTAAAAGTAACTATGAGGTTTAGGGTCACCAGGAATGCCTGAGGTAACAAAAGCGCACATGAGGACTACCTTCCTCTCCCTGGTGCTGTTGGTCATCACTGGTCTTCATACTCAAGCCACCTCTGAGCAGTGACTCATTAGTGCTTTAATGAGATCTGAGTAGTCAGTGGCTCCTTAATTATACTGGATTGGTTCTAACATAAATGGACTGACTTAAATTAGAAAAAAAAAAAAAATCCCTTAGAACAATTTGTGGCAGATATCATTAACTTGAGGATACCCTGTGGCCTTAAGCATCTGCTTCTGTGTTCATGAGCAACAGTTAGAAACGATTTTGAAACTTAGTCTTCTTTAATATGTATATATTTTCTTGTTTGAAAAGATGTTGGATATGGTTATCCAAACATGGAAAGATGCCTTTGCTTTTTCTACCAACTGATCCAAACTTATTCTGGGTCAGATTGGAAAATCTCTCCCTATAGACTGAGCCTCTGATTTAGCTCAAGTCTATGGTTGCTTTATGCTGTGAAGATTCACTTTCTTTGGGAAGGAGCAGTGTCTTTATCTTTAGCAGCTGGATGAAAGCAACATCTTCATCTCAGAGGGGAGTGAAACGTGTCGCTCCCCAGTCCTCATGGAGGTCCAGCCCTTGTATGTTAGTGGAGCCAAGCAAGGAAAGGGGTTGTCTGTGTTCACAAGAGCACTTAACATGAATAACGTACGGTCACATTCTAACAAAATGTTTACAAATTGGTAGCTAGCAGAAATGTAGTCTGCATAATAATCCTCGTTTAAATGATCCTACAGTAGATAACTTTTATTCATAGTAAGTCTGAATTCTGCAAAAAACTAAATAAGGTTATCGCTTGTTACCTAAAACAAAGGACTTCACAAACAATTCAGGCTACACTGAAAAGCATCCTGATTGATCCTTGAATTGTTTAGAAATGTTTCATGGACTAGATTCAATGGGTAGGTGTGTTTTAGTAGGAAATAATTTTCCCACAAGTGCTGTCCATCAGTGACTTGGGAAGTATCCAAGCAGAGACAGGAAAACTATAAAAGTTCTTTGTAAAGGCAGTTCTATGTAAGAACAAGAGACCCGAAAAGTACGTCTTTAAAGGAGTTGAAACCAGTAGTAAAGTTTCATATTCACTTTATTGACTGCTGAAGTTCAGTCTCTGATGCATCTTCCAGCCTTCTCTGATACTGCCTTTCTGAGGCTTTTCTACGGTAGACATCGTCTGTATCAAACAAAGATTTTATTTAGATTTTCAAGAGACTAAGGAATTAAAAATACATATCTGAGTAATTTAACCAATAGTCTAGATCTGTCACCTGAATATCAACATTAAGGCTTAACTCAATGCCAGAATAAACTTAAAACAAGATTTGATTTAAATGAGCACTGTGTTAAAGGAGCTCTCAATATCAATAGCAGGGTCAGAGTCAGTGTCTTCAAAGATAGTGTCATGTCCCAGCACAGCCCTTAGCAATTTCACTTCTCTCTGAAATCATCCTTCTTAACTGGCCCTGCAGAGGCACTTCTGGCCCTATAGCTCTCTGCTGCTCCCTCTGCCACACCCAGGAACTGAGGGCTGGGAGATGAGGGCAGTCTCCTTGTTCTCAGCTGCTGCTTTTCCAGACTACTACTGATTCTCCACCTTCTTCCTCTGGGTCCTGTGCCATTTGCCACCATCTTCTCTGCACTGGCACCTGCTGTCCATCACTCCCCTTCAGTCTCTGAAAATGCTGGCATCTAGCTCAGGTTCCTTGACCCTGTCCTGTGCCATCTTCCCAGGCAACACCACCCCCAACAGAGATGAAGCACCAGCCCCCTTCATCTTCCTTACTTCTCAACTTCTACCATCTGCTTGCAGTGTTCCTCTGAAGCAATAAGTTCATTCTGCTCTGACCACAACCTCTACTACCTTTCTGTCCTTGGACCTTCACCAACTTCCTCAGGCCCTTGTCCTCTCTTCCTGCCCAGATCAGCTGAAATTCCCTCTCATCAATATCAACTTCTTGATATACCTTCAAAACCCAAACTACAGATTAATCCAACTTACTTCTCCATGCCTCATTCTGCTTGCTTTGCACTGTGGGCCCAACTGTTGCATCTAACTGGGTCCACTGTGATGCCTGGCAGTCCTGTTTCTTCAGCCATGGCCCTGACCCTACTTTACCGACCCTACTTTACCCACCCCGAAATGGCCGTGAACTTTCTTCGCAGAGAAAAGTCATCAGTAAAGAACTCTTCCAGCTGACTTCCAAGGGCTACTCCTTGCCCTGCTCTGGTCCCATCCTCTCCCACCTTCTCAAGGGCCAAGGTATCTCCAGCCTCCCTCCACCCTCTCTTTCCTGATCAGTATTTGCATATTTCAAGTCTCTCCTGGTAGGGGAGAGGGGGCTTACCTCCCATTCACTTAGTTGAACTTCCTGAACCTCCTGTCTTCTGTGATAACAAGCCCTTCATGTTTCCCTTCTTGCCTCTCTGGTCACTCTTAGTCACCCTTAAAATGTTGGGGTTTAAACTCTGACTTTCATCACAATCAGCTTGTGAATGACCCACAAACCTAGATCTGAGGCCCAGATCTGCCTTCTGAGCTTCAGTTCTGTATAACCATCTCCCCCCTCAGCACGTCCAAAATGGAGCCCAGGACTGTCCTGCCTGTGTTCCCCCTGCCCCAGCTGCCCTACCAGAAGCCGCCACTCCTCATTTCCTGAGTGCAGTCAATCACCAAGCCCTTGTTAGTACTACCTCTGGGGTGTCTCTCAACTCCGCCCACTTCTTGGCATCTCACCCTAGTCCAGGCCACCATCTCAAATCTGGACAACCACACAGCCTAAGTGTTCCTGTCAATCCGCCCTCCACAAGAAAGCATTCTCCACATATGTTCACCAGCTGCGGCTTAAAACTCTTCAGCCCTGTGGGATACACTGTTGGTTCTTCAGTCCCTTTGTGGCCCTGCCCAGGCACCTTTCTAACCACGTCATCCCTCACTCTGCTCACCTGCTTCAGTCCCTGAAACACAGCAGCATACTTTCACACCGAGGCCCCAAGGTTTGCTCTTACCACTGGCAGAAGACACTTTCAAGTCCATAAAGGTTTCCCTCATCTGGCTGACACCTACTCAATCTTCGGACCCTACCTGACATGGTAACTCCTCCAGGAAGCCTTCCTTGCACCACCTAGTCCAATTCAGGTGCCCCACCCAGGACTCCCATGCTCCCCCAACTTTCCCCCCACAGCAGTGATCACACTTAATAGTAACTGTATGATCTGTCTCTCCCATTAGTGCTCTTCTGGTGTGGGGGCCCTCCACCTTATATCCTCTCATCAGTGCTCATTAAATATGAAGGAATGGGTGAACACAGTAGGATTAAATATCTTTAGAAAGCACTTTTTTTTAAAAAATGAGGGTTGGTGATTCACAAGTGATTGTGTTTCTGGAGAGGGAGAAAGCAGAAAGGGCCTAGGGGTTAGGGAAGTCTTCCTGGAAGAGGAACTAGCCTGTCCAGGCTAGTGCTCAGCAAAGCAATGCCAGACACACTTTTTGTAGTGCTGGGCATTGGTACCAATGACTGGCCAGTAAAGACAGTAGTATTTAGCTAAGCCGGGCCAACCAAGTTCCCTCTAGGGTTTGGACTGGCCAGTTAGGAACTTCCATGAATCCTCAAGATCCCACCCGCCTCTAGGTGCTGTGAGAAGTCTATTCCTTAGGCCCGAAAAGTGTCACCGGCATGGCCGAAGGGCAGGCTTGAAAGGAGGGCGTCCTGAGTGGAGTCACGTGCCCTCCTCTCAAAGTGCAGGGAAGGTCTCAAGATCGGATACCAATGTGCCTTTGTCGCCCCGCTTACAGGAGAGCCCAGGCGGATCTCCACCGCCCAACGAAGGGAACCGCACTCGCCCTTCTGACCAGGGTAAAAGCACCTCAGCGCTGAGCGGAATGAGAGGTCTACAAGCTGAGAACAGCCCCCAGGAAAACGGCTCCCTCGCCGCCTCCCGCCTGCCTGAAATGAAACAGAGGCTGCTCTGCACCCCCACTTACAGAAGGTCTCCTGGCCCACGCGCACTTTAATCATGATCCACTCCATCGTTCCTCCCAGGACAAAAAAGAAGGGCAGGAACCTGTAGACGCCGAGTCGCTGCTTCCCGGGCACCCGCTGCAGAACCCGCCTCACCTGGGCTCTGGAAAACATGCCGGACCGCTGTCGTGGAGAAGGGTACGGCGGAACGAAGAGCGACGGGAGCTGTCCCAGTTCCTGGACTGGAGCTCCCGGATGAAGCCGAAGCCGAAGCCGTCGCCGTCCTGCCCGTCCTTGCTGAGTCCGGCGGCCAGGTAGCCGTGCGATCCCGGCCCTGGGCCACCTCCTAGGAGGTGAGGAGCGGAACGGGTAAGGAGCAGCGCTGAGCTCGGGACCCAGAATGTGGAGCGGCTCCACCAATCTGAGTGCGGTGGGCTGCGTGGGTCCGCCAATCAGAATGCGGCGGAGTGCGCGTGCTCTGTGAGGCCTAAACCAGCTGGCGCAGACTCCTCTGCTCCAGAGGCAGGGCGGGCCAAGGGGCGGGGCCTCCCACGTGGCGTCGGTCCGGCCCCGCCTCGCGGCCTCCCCTGTGCAAGCTGGTATTCGGAGTTGGCGGACGCGCCCCCTACTCTGCCACCGCCATCTTTTTTCTTAAAGTCCTAGTAGAAGTGATGACCCTCTATGATGGACTACTAAACGGGTAGTGCACCATGCTCTAAAATGCAATTACACAACGCCTTTCATTTATTTCGAGATCGAGACTGATGCCTAGGCTTCTAAAAATAAGGTGCATTGTTGAAAGCTAACTGTCATTATCACAAGAAAAGTCTAAGTAAGCATCTGAGACAAACCACCATAAAATTAAGAAAAGCTATCCTGTATGGGGCACTTCCCGTTATTCCCGGACTATTAGACAATCTAAGAAAGTCAAATGAAAGCTTAGAACCAATAAGAGAGTTTGGTAACGTGGACACAAAATGTACAAAAAGAAGAGAGATCAAGCAGCGCCTCTGAAAAGGGTAGTAGGGTCCGCCGCTGAGCTGCCAGGTCCAAGCTACAGCTTGGATAACCTGGATAACCTGCCTTCTCCCGGAGCCAACCCCACCCAACCATGCACACACAACTGGCTTGGTGCTCACTCTGGCTTCTCTTGGTGGCTCTGCGGGCTGGACACCACAGAGCACCCATCTCCCGCTCAGACGAGGCTTACATATGGCTAAGCCCCCAGCGCACACTTAGCTCACTGGGACCCTGGGAGTGGGGAGGGCAGCCGCCCACCCACGGGCCCACCTATGGCCTCCATCCTGTGCCAGCACTTGGCCCAGGGGCTGGCACACTGTAGGTCCTCAGCCAAGGTGCAGTGAATATTGGAATGTACACCCTTAGACCCGGCGAGGACACCGCGGGGAGCATCCCACGGAAACAGTGTCTAGCTAGCCAGCTCTCCACCGACAAGGCCCACGGGTGCAGGGTCAGCCTACTGAAGGCCCAGAGCACATGCGCATGTGGACTTAGAAAACGGATCTGTGTGGAATACACGCGGGTGGAGAGTGGTTCCCAGCAGGAAAGAGGAATTTCGTTGTAAATCCTGGTGATATTGCTAGAAGAGCTAGAGAGTCCCGCGTGGGGAAGCGAGGAATGGAGCGGTTCGGTGCGGCCATTTGCTGAGGTAGGAACCAGGCAAGCACAGTGACCCCTGGCCCACCACCTCGCTCCAAGTTAACAGAGGTCATCTGTATAAGGCACAAAGAGGGAGCGACGTCTGCGTCAGCGGTCGTCGGCTGCGCTGCGGTCCCGAGGTCTCACGCAGCGTGGGGCTGGCAGCGGGGAGCGCGCGGGAAGGACTCTATCCGCCAGAGACGTGAGTGAAACGCGCCGGTCTCTGGTCCGCGGGCAGAACCGGCAGGGGCGAGGGGCGGGGAACAGGACCCCCGCTGCAGGACTGGGGGAAGGGGCAGAGGATCTGAGGTCAGAAGGACAGGAGGTGGGGGAAGGGGCGGGAGGCCCCGGGAGCAGAGGGAGAGACAGAGGACCGGGGGGCCGGGGTGGACCCGCCGCGCTCTGGCCCTCTCCGCTCCGAGCCCTGGCCGTCCGGAGCCTCGCGGGGACGGCCTTTCTTAGGCCCGCCAGCCTCCCTAGGGGAGGAAAGAAGGAGCCGCCATCGCCACCGTAGCTTCCGAAGGGGGGCGCAGAGTCCTCCTGGGCCACTCCGGAGACTGGGGGAGGGGGTCGGGGAGCCCGCCCCGCCCCGTCCGGGACCTCCCGCCCCCCGGACATAGGGACGCTCCCATTGGCGGTCGGGCTCCGCGCGCCGCGCCCATTGGCCGGCCGCTGTAAGGAGCACGCGGCCACGGTGGCGGGCGCGCCGTAGGAGGGCGGCGGACGGGCCGGAGGGCTGAGGGCAGCGCGGGCGGCGCGCAGCGGGCATGGCGGGTGTGGGGCTGCGGGCGGCCGCTCGGCGCTGCCTGCCGCGCCGAGACCACGGCGGCCCGCGAGCCGCCTCGTCCTCGCCCTCCTGTCCTGGTTGCGGCCCTCCGGGTCCCGGCGCCCACTGCCCCGGCGCCCCGCGTTCGGCGCCCGCCGGCGGCGCCGAGCCCAGCGCACACCTGTGGGCTCGATACCAGGACATGCGGAGACTGGTGCACGGTAGGTGAGCCCGAGCGGGAGGAGCGCCGGGCGTGTAGCTCCCTCGGCGGCACACGCGAGCCTGGGCGATGGACCGACGGACCAAGTTCCAGGGTACCGCTCCCGAGTCGTCCCGGGCGCCGCTCCTCGCGGGGAGCGCCGTGGTGGGGCTCGCCAGGGCCCCAGAGCCCTAAGGCCGGGCAGCCCTTCGGGAGGGACTCCGGCGGAGGGTCCTGGGGGCTTCTGGGGACTCCCGGAGGCGGGCGGGTGCGCGGTTTGTTCCTCCGTTCAGTATTCAGGAGCTCGGGGTTCCTGTAGCGGCCGTCGGAAGGCGGGCCCCGCCGTCTTTCCTCAGGGTCCCGCCTGTTGGGAGGCCGAAGCGGAAACGCCCCCAACCCCTTGTTCTCTTCGGGGCCTTTAGTTGGGGCGGGAGTACTGGGGACAAAGCCAGCCAGCCGGCGGCGCTGGCCGAAGCGGGCTCCTAGAGACTCCTGACTCAAAAGATGCCGACTAGACTCTTCGGACGTCTCTAGATTCCGCCCTGGAGTCTCGCGCTCTCAGCTCAGGAGCGGAAGGCGTTGTTTGGAGAAACGACACCAAGTCGCCCAAGTCCCCTGGAATCCAGAAGGGTTGCTGCTTCCTTGGCCAGGGCACTTACTCCTCTATCCTCTCTCCCTCTGCAAAACTGGCAGATGAGGCCCCAGAGCACCCTGGTGAGGCCAGAGGGCTGGATATTCGTTCTGGTCTCTGGGGCCCTGCCTCTTTAGCAGACAGTTGTGGTTGGGGCTGACCAGCTGGGTGGCGCTCAGCAAGTCTCTTCCTCTCGGTCCCTCAGTGTCTTACATCGGAAAACACAGTCCTGGGGCCTTTGTCACAGGGTTGTGGTGCTGACTCGGAAAGAGTCCAGGAATGGATGGGGCAACTTCAGGAGGAGCCCCTCTGGGAGTGACATAGCTTTTGTCATCTTATAAGACAAAGTGGTCCTGTCTGGAAGATTCCAACTGCCTGAACGAGGGCTTGCACTCCAGCTGTGTAGAGACCTGGGAGTAGTATGGGTGGACAGGACTCACATTTTGAGGAGCTGAAGGCAGAATAAGCCCTGAGGACTGGTGGTTTTGAAGCCCTTGGGCCTCTATCAGGACCATCCCTGCCTCCCCCCGCCACCCAGTGGACTGGGCATACATGGGGTGCCGTTTAAGGACCTGTCTTTGCTCTGGGCCTCGAGAAGACCCTCAGTAGAGCAGCCTGAGAAGCCTGCATTGTAGGTGTGGGGGAGAGACATAGGGAAGTCTAGTGGGCTTTATCACTCAGGGCCCACTTGGATCTTCAGATCTTCACAGAGACCCCCCCAAGCTCCTCTTGATGTGATAAGGGCAAGGTCATTTCCAAGATGCCATAGTGAGTGCCGGGATGGACCAGCCTTGCACCCCTGGGCCCTAACTATCCCCTTCTGGCTGGGTTTTCTTGGGGGAGATTCTGGACATTGAGACATGCTGATGCCTGTGGGCAAAACTTTGCCGGGGAGCCAGGCCCCAGGCCAGCCCCCACCCCCGTCCCCCCCCCCCCCCCCCCTCAGTGTGGTGACACTGGAAGGCTAGGCGGAGGGGCAAAGTGATTGAGGCAGGTAGGGTGACCTGAATTCAAATCTCAGTTCCATGGCCTGTTGCTAGATGGTTTGGAGCAAGTGACTTTACCTCCCTGCACTCCAGTTTCTTCCTCTGGATGGTGGAGGAATAAATGTGATCACCTCATGGGATTGGAGTGAGCTCTAAGGCACCAGCAGCAGCTGGGAGGATGGCCCCCACAAGTCTCATGGCTGCCATTGAGAGGAGTTGGCCTGGAAGGTGGGGGCTGGACAGTGAGACCAGTGAATTTGGGAGGCTGGTGCAGGTGGGGGGCATATCTCCTCACCTGGCCCCATGCACCACCACAGCCCTATGGAAGAAACTGGGGCCTTCTGGTTTTCTCAGTCTAGAAGCTGGGTCAGGAGGCCAGGCCTGTGGGCTGCTTCCCCATCCTGCTTTGTTTCTGGGAGGGTTGTCCATCCCTGGGAGTATCCTCAAGGGCAGAGGCCAAAGCCTGGATTTGGCCAGAACTCAGTGCCAGGAAGGGGCTGCAGAGCCAAGCAGACCCCTGCCCTCCTGGGGAACTACTGGGCTTTGTGCTGAGAGTCACAGATGGCACCCAGGAACTCAGGACCTTGGGAAGGGACATTTCAGAAGCAGCTTCATAAGAGAGCTGATGTCAGCTGTGTCTCATGTGCACCCAGGTGAGGAGTGTTCCATCTGCACCCACGAATCTGAAGCAGCTGCTCTTCCAGGCCTAAGGGCCACCAGAGGAACCAGCCACACCTGTTCCCCCACCCACATTCTGTACTTGTCTCCAAAGGAAAGGGGATGGGTGTGGAGCCTGTGTTCCAAAGGCACCTCTGAGGCAAATGTCTGCTCCATGGCCAAGGGCTTCTGCTTCAAGATCACAACTTGTGTCTGAGACAAAAATTAATTCACTGGAGGCTTGGGCTGTTTGGGCCTCAGCCACAGGCTAGAGGTCTCAGGAACGGGGCCACCTGGAGCCCCTGCAAGGCAGTGTGCTGTGTGTGCACCTAGTTCTGCCTGCTCCCCTCTGATTCCCTGCAACCCGTTTCTTTGAGGGAAACTGGGGACAGGGAAATGTGGGCTCCAGAGGTGCATTGCCCATTTAATCCTACATTTGCCACGGGTCCAGGTGGGAATGCTGCCCAGAGCACGTTCTGTATGACCCTCTTTTTAATTTTGTAGGTTGGTACAATTTTTATTCCCCCGTTAGAGACAAGGAAACTGAGCCCCAAAAGGTAAGGTGTGGTAATTTTCCTGAGGTCACAGCCATGCGAGGGAGGGCTCAGTCTGCTCTCTCTGACCTCAAAGCCCGTGCCCTTTCCCCGTCCACCTCCCCCACTGCACAGATGGGGAAACAAAGGCAGATAAGCCTGGGAACCCTCAGCCTCCTAGGGAGCAGCCAGGGGATTGGGGTGGCTATGACTGTATCCTCAGAGGAGAGCAGCCTGGGTAATGACCCAGAACCCACCACATGTCCCACCTGTCATAATTAGCAATGTTCCCTGCCTAGAGGTGATGCTGAAAACTCGGCCTCTGTACACCAGTGCTGAATCAAGTCTCGGAGACAGAGTTTTAGGTGAAGTAGAAGAGAATAGCTTTACTGCTTTGCCAGGCAAAGGGGGATGCAGCAGGCTCCTGCCCCAAAACACTGTCTCCCAACCCAGGAGGAGTTGGTAAGTTTTTCTAGCAATGGTGCAAGGGTGGGGTTGTTGAGAAGATTAGGGTGTGAGCAGGGTCTGCACTCCTTTAATCTCATCTCAGGTGGTCTCCTAATCTTGATGAGCTTCTCTGGTTCCTCAGATCTTGCCTCAGGTGGTTTCTCGGCTGTTGCTCCGTTGTCTCCCCATCCTTTCCCTTCCCGACTAACAGCTGTTCAAATCTGCCCTTTGGAACCCAGGGAAGGTCATGGAGGCTGGAGTCTGTTCCCTACAAACAAGAAATGAGGGACAGAAAGGCTTCTGTGCCCAGGAGCCCCACAGGGTCTTGCTTGGTTTCACTCCCCCCTTTTCTTTGATACTCCTCAGTCTTGAGGAGAACAGATGTTGGACAAGATAAGGAATAATCGTTTTGGATAGAAATGTTAATCATAAACTTGGCAGAGGGACTTGGTTTTAATCCCCGCTTCAGTTTTATCTTTCCCCAACTCTTTCAGGGAACAGGGTGATGGCCACTCAGGCTACTTCCTGCTGAAACGGGGCATAGATACCGAATTAGAAATATTAGAGGGCTTCCCCGGCAGTGCAGTGGTTAAGAATCCGCCTGCCGATGCCGGGGACACAGGTTCAAGCCCTGGCCCGGGAAGATCCCACATGCCACGGAGCAGCTAAGCCCGTGCGCCACAACTACTGAGCCTGAGCTCTAGAGCCTGCAAGCCACAACTACTGAGCCTGCATGCCACAACTACTGAAGCCCATATGCCTAGAGCCTGTGCTCTGCAACAAGAGAAGCCACCACAATGAGAAGCCTGTGCATTGCAATGAAGAGTAGCCCCCACTCGCTGCAAGGAGAGAACGCCTGCACACAGCAACGAAGACCCAACACAGCCAAAAATAAATAAATAAATAAATTTATTAAAGAAACAGAAAGAAATATTAGAAATACTTGAATTCCTAGTCCTGGATCCGAGGAGTCCCGTATGATTAAGATCTCAATCCCTTAGTCCGCCATTTTGGTGCAACAGACCCAAGTTAAAGGTAAAATGAGTGACAACTGGATCTTTAGTAGATGGTGTAGATCTCACTTCCTTAGAAATTCAGGAGAATCAATCGGAAACCCAGTCTGGAACTGGGCTGTTGTAGCCAGTTGTTTCCAAACAATTCCCTGTAAGGGGGAAAACTCACCAAGTCAATCCTGAAGACTCAGAAATAGGAAGCTCACCACATATCCAGCAGTTAAGAATTATCAAGAGAATCAGCATATGAATCTATAGTTTTGTGGGGAAAAGTAAAAGGTATGAGAAAGAATAAGAAAACAAAACTTCATTACACTTGTCGGAACAAATACTTAAGGTTTCCCAAAGAGTGAGATGTCCACTTCTTAGGAGTCTTGTTTGCTGGCTGTAGGCGGGCGTGGCTGGTCAGTCTCTGGTGATCATCTTACTCTAGTGTGATGTACCCATGGTTTTACTCCATCCAATTTCAGAGAGGTATGAGTGGTAAGAACATCATAGGCTCCCTTCCATTTCTCTTCAAGCTGCTGCTCAGGTTCTTGTTCTTTCCACACTTTCAGCAGCACCCTGTCTCCTGCTTTGAAGGGATGAAAGGGAGCTTCCAGGCGAGGGGAGACCTGTGAGACACAAACTCATGCTTAGCGGTTAACAATTGACCAGTCTGTTGTACATACTGCTTAACTTATTTATTTGAAGTATAGTTGATTTACCATGTGCTAATTTCTGGTATATAAAAGTGACTCAGTTATACACATATA